TTGATGCAACCTGAATTGGCGACTTCTGCACCCGTTCTATTGGCTTCGTAGCGTCGTCTTGAAAGGACTGTCCTTGACTCTATCCACTAAGGCTCCCTCAGGCGTGTTTTGTGATTGGCCAGTGTCGCCCGGGGAAAGTGGTGGCCAAGACCGGATTCATGTAATCCTCCTAGGAAGGTTAAACGAGCTGACGTTCATCATTATTTACTGTCCGTCTAGATAGAAAAGTGCTTGTGGCGCACGCTAGCACTGGACTTTGCGCCAGGGTCAATAAGGAACTCGCTATTGCTCATAATGTGACTGGAGAGCACATCGTTCCGCCCTTTACGGAAGATCAGACAGACGGTCAGATACCGGGATTTAAGGGACCAAGGGATCATTGATCTACTGATCGCGATGGAGGGATAGTGACAGTACGTGAAAATGGTTTAGATTGAGCCATTTGGGCGACTGATACCGGCAAGGGATGGCGACCATGTAAGAAGCTGCAGGAGTGGTTAGCCGTGGTAAAATCAATGACACTCATGCATGGATCTTCAAGCGTCTAGTCGGGCCTAACTGTGGTCTTATTGAAGTGTTTTTGAGTTGCCAATCGTGAGCTCTTGACCACTGCCTCCAGCCTCCCGGTGCCGGCGTACAGGTTTTGGGACGCCGCCTTGCTCCGCTGGGTTTTCCTGGCGTCGCGCAAGCTAACAGAGCAGCGCCCGAGGACGTGGCTGGGGATAGTGTGCAGGGAAAGCGCCTTCTTTGGGAGTAGCTCAACACCCTTTTTCAGACCCTCGACACAAACGTGATCGCTAATACCAGCCAATAATCGGCCTTGGACGCTTCCCGCCTCACGCTTTCGCTGTTATTGCCCGCGAAATGGTTGGCTGTCGACGATCGATAACAGCCATCCTCCAGTTCCGCAAGAGGCACCGATGCTGGGATTCGGCCACCGGCATTTCAGATGTATACGAGAAGAGCGGGAATAACTGTCAGCCATCGCCGGCATGTCTAGGATCCTCTCGATCCCCCTGTTGAGCATATCTTCCCCTCTTTCGGCGAGCTGCCTTGGTCACACCCTGGGCTTCACCATCTGGTGGCTTCGTGGTGCCCTGTCCTTGCCTCTCGTCCGATGCAAACGATTCTTAGGGGTCAGGCTTGCATCATGTCGCTATGCTTCTGCAATGTCTCTGAGACTGTCCGTATTGGGAGAGCCATCTTTTCAAACAAGGCTGCCGACTGGTTTGTTTGGCCGCACGCCCGTATTAGGGGCCAATCGGAGAACAGAAGCCGATGGTCTCTTTTACTTGACCTGTTTTTGTTTCGAAGCCGCGCGACTACAGGAGGCTATTGGCGATGACAACGTCCAAAACGCCGATCAATCGCGCGGCGTCGTCGCAGGTGGTGTATCTTGCCACTCGCCCAAGCAAGCCCACTTGAAAGAAAACCATTCCGGGCCTGCCACCTCAATAATGTCCAATTAAGGTTGCTATTGGATTTAGCCCCCTCGTCACCCAGACTTTCTGCGACGATTCTGGTTAAAAGGGAAGGAGATCCCCTATCTTGTCGTCTCGTCTCTCGCCTTCTGGTAAATTCAGTGTTATTTGTACCATTTTATCTTCTCCGAAGGATTTTGCCTGTCATGAATACGACACACCATGGCGTGAGCGCCACTGAAGATCCAACACCGGATTCTGTCAACCAATAATTTTCTGCAGGGTCAGAATATGCTCAGACTACCGCCTCTTCCCCTTCTCCGCGGGGCACGACTCCACCACGAGCTTTCCCCTCTTCACAGCAGGACATGCTACATCTACTTGCGGGTGTCCAGACAGACTTAGCCAAGTTAAACTATGTCCTCGACGAAGCCAGAGACAGTATGATTGCTGTGCAGGGGAAGGTCAACAAGATTATCAATATTCTACGGGACAGATCAAGTTGCTATCTACCCGTTCCTTCACCGACCTGGCCGGCAGCGCCACTTGAAGCGAATCACGTCTACCTGGACTATGAACCACAACCATACGCGCTCGGCTTTAATGACCATGTTGAGCACTTGACCCATGATTCCGCTTGGATCCCTCATGATGATCATACTACTGTTGGTGACCTGGAAGTTCAACAGCAACCGTCTACCGTCCAAGATCTGGCAGAACAGAACCTACCGGCTGGAGAAGCCCCTCAACCATGTCATGATCGTACAATCGACTACGACCTTACGAAAGGGGGATGCTCGCGGACGCCACGAGTCGCGAAACGGCATTTTGATGAAGTTGAACATTAAGCAGAAAGTGCTCGCCAACGCTATCTCAATGTAGTAGGCGGGGCGAAAGGGCAACGTGCGAACAATGCGATGTTTTCATTATGATAAGGGATTTAGCTACCAGACTTCTTAAGTGTAGGGGTTCCTGGAGCATGACCGTAGAGCCCTAGGACAGTTGACTCCGGAAGAGTGGTAGAGCAATCACTGATTTGGTCAACGGGATTGACCCTGCGAAACCAATGGCTCATACGTACCAATGCTTCTCATCCAGCGGGCCGGTGCGCCTGATTCTCGGAAATGAGGCAGTTTGTATGGTCCGGCCCATTCTGTGATCGAATCGGCTGCTCCTCATCCATCCATTCGATGATATGATCATTGGAAGCCGGGGTCTATTACATGTTAGCTTGAAAATGTCACCAAGATGGTTTCAGGTTATCTTGGCCACAGGGTGTACCTGGTTCTGAAGAAATGCTCGTTGGTACTCACTATCGACTTGAACTTTTGGAAGAAACTAGCGTACTTCCTATACAACCTATGATCGTGGAAGTAAAGAATACAGGGATTCGCGAAACAAACATTGCGTCGGAAAAGCAGATTCTCGGACCCCCAAGGGACAGAATATAAACCAACGATATCAAATCGTATTTTTCGGTGCTTTATATTGATAGGGCTGATGGGGCGCCCAACTTCTATCACCATAGAAGGGCGGTGGTCCGAGAGATCATCAGACACGCCTCAACCAGCCTCCTCACAGGTGAGGCATTCTATGGGCCAATGAGTCCGCCACAAGGTGTGCAAGGGTCCTCGATAGTGACGTGGCCATACCATACCACCCAATGATCTGTCTTTGACACTCCGCATTCTCCTGTCGGTGTTACTGCCCAGGAATGGGTTGGCACTCGACGTTCGATTACAGCATCCTTCCAGTTACGTGTCAGGCATGGCCTCGGCTTCAGCTTCGTAAAGAAAATGAGCTTGCTCAGTCACATTTACCCTTGTGTCGGCCGTTTTTCGACTTGTCGGCCACTTTGGATGTCTTCTTGATTCCGGGTTCCAGCCTCCGTGTTTCTGAATCGTCCAGTCAAATATGTTGTCGTATTCGCACCCTGGTGGCTGAAGGCCATCGCGTAAATTTCCATGCGCCCTGAGATCCCAGAGTTTGCTTCTCCGCCGTACAGTTAAGCAATCCGCTGCTGGTTTTATTGTCGTCATTTCCACTTACATTGTCGCCGAATTTCTTCATGACCACATCAATGACACGACCAAGCGAAAACGTCTCCCAACTTTGTGGGCAACGTGAAGATCACGGCGGGAAGATCACCCTCGACGGCGGCACCTTCAAGGATAGGTGAGTGGATCACTAAGTGGTTATAACTTCACCTAATCTTGTAGATCGGCAGGCCACCAAGATCTCTCGCGCATTTGGGAACATGTCCAAGAAGCTACATGGGTCGATGACTTTATAAACCCATTTACCCAGCATGGAGTCAGGCATGATCACACCGATGCCATTGAATTAAACGAGCAGTTATATGAAGAAATCAGGAAAGGTCTTCGGCGCGAGGTAGATCCTCCTGCGGAACAGGTCAAAAAGCTTTGAAACCCGAGGAAAGTGGACGATTCTCGCCCCCCCCACGTCCAGAAACAGGTCTAATCAAGGCGGTTTGGACGGGAGGTCGATTTTGTTCAAGATATGCTTTTCCGGACGTACTCGACTTTTGCCTTGCCAGCATAAGTGCGGATTTACATAGCGGTTAAGGCTCTGCTATGACAAATACAGCAAAGGAAGGCTGTCTAAGAGTGGTCAATAGAACACACCGATAAGGTGCCACTGTGACACCGACTGATATAGTGAGTTACTGCAATCGAACCTGGACCAGCTTGGGAAGGATGTATCCGTAATTTCAAACGTCATATTACCCTGGCTCTACGGACAAAGCTCTGGGTCCGTGCTGTCCTGAAAAGATCCTGTTTCTTGTTCGGTGGTAGGCAGGAGAAAAGACGACCAAAAAGATGGATGGCTTTGGCATGAGCCTGACTATGGTGGGTTCTGGATCTCTCGATCTGGGCTCGTGGCTCTCACCTTCAGACCGTTCTTCCTTCGAAATGATGGACCTGGCATCAATGCTTGCTTTTCATTGCCAATATGGCCTTGGTCGTCACATCGAGTCAGCACATTATCCCTCAAACCATGAATCAGAAGTGAAGAATAGGTACCGCCGTACAGTATCGCGTTCGTGAGCTGGAGCCTGTTGCCTGGCTTCCTCCCTCCTCCTGCGTGCCGTCGGCAGCCCGCGTCTTTTGGGTACCAGGCGTAGTATCAGGACATCCGGATCACCCAACTCCCCTGCCACTGTAGCAATTGGCCCACCTTCAACGCCATCTGGTGCCAACAGTGGTTGGGCGTCGCCCTTGGTACTCTGCTTCGTTTGGGAGTTTTGTTGGTTCTTAGTGCGTGACTGCTTCTCAGTGCTACGAGGAAACCAGGTTTGCAAATAAGATAGCTACCTACTTTGTTGAGCTTGCTTCAGGTTGCAATTATGCAGGGTCATTGGTTGGCGAAAAAACAGACTGGCTTTCGAGGCTTGGGCTGAAAGACCTCTTGCATAATAAACAGCGCGGTGGACAGCGATGCCAGGGAGCCGCATACGAAGAGAAGCCTCTCAAGGCCTACAGGACGTTCTCGAAAACAACCTAATGTACAGTGCACGGTGACCGTCAGCCCCATCGTCCAGGAGTCTGTGTGCCTCTAGGGGCCTAAAGTGGGCGCTTCGGTAGCCCAAAAGGGCATCCTAAGAGCCTAAATAGGCAGATGTAGGAATTGGCTCCCTAGATTCCAAATGACCTCTGCTTAGCTTCCCTGGAGGGCTGTACACCGTGGTGAGGGAGGCAGCCCATTCGAGTACGCGCCAGTGGTGAAAAGAGGAGGACAATGGGTGGGCATCCATGAGACCCGAGGCATTATTAGGAAAATTTGCCGAAATGGTTTCCCCACGATTCAATGCCGCGCCCAGGGCAGGCCCGACTCTACGGAGGTAGATGTAGGTAATAGTGCCAATCCTGCTTGACATCGTGTTCCGTGTAAACCTCGTAATTGCTGCAGCAGATCCGTCTCACAGACTCTTGTAATTCGCTCTGCTACCACCTCTTTGGCGACAAAAGCCCTTGAATTCACGGTTTGAGAGAGCGTAGCATCAAAGCGTGCCCCTAGAAGTTGCGACACTGATTTCAAGCCTCGGGCGCTAAGGACTGGTTGATTGGACCAGAGGCACCCTAGGATATTTTGTGTTGGCCAGGGCCAGCGCCCAGAACTGCAGCATTCCAGGCAACCGCGGTTTGGGCTTGAAGGGGAAAGTATAGCGAGTCTGCATAGTCAAATCGTTCTCTAGCCTCGGAATGGAAGCTGGATCGCCGAAGCACACTATGGATGACTTTGTGCGCCGCGTTCAAAATATAACCATCGGCGGCAGATATCACCTGCAACGAAAATTAGGGTCTGGGTCTTTCGGCAAGGTCTATCTAGGTACGGCGTTGATCGTGGCAACCACGGCTCCAGGAAAAAGCTCATGTTTCACCAGGGCGTGACGCCGACAGTGGAAATGAAGTCGCGATAAAACTCGAGCACTACAGCGTGGGCCCGTCTTTACTCGAAGAGGAACCGTCTATCTATCAAGCTCTCACCGGAAACCCAGGCTTCCCGAAGGTGTATTGGTTTGGTCAAAAGGATGATTTTATGGCCTTGATCTTCGAGTTGCTCGGGCCCAACTTGGAGGACTTGTTCCGATACTGTGGCAATCAGTTCTCTATGAAGACAACACTGATGCTTGCTGGATCAACTGCTTCGCCGCCTTGAACTTTTGCATTCGAAAAACTACCTTCACCGCGACACCAAGCCTGAAAACTTTCTGCTCGGGTTGCAGCACCGCGGCAACACGGTCTACATGACCGATTTGGGTCTCGCGAAGTACCGCCACCCTGAGCGGTGGGACACCGAGAGTCCTCCCGTCCGTGCTGCCACAAAGCGAACTCAGGGCCAAACCCCAGGGGCGACACAGAGGTCCTCGCAGCCAGATTCGCTCGAAGGACGATCAAACGCAGAGCGACGAGCCTCCAGAATCCACCAGGTCCTTCGGGAACTTGCTGAAATCTTAAATGACCTCCAGTCTTTTACTGGCTCTATTCAGCCTACTGTTTGGGACGCAGTCCTTATTCTATCCTCGACTCTGCTAACTGTGGCTTATTACCTTTACCGGTCCTACAATTTCCCTTTCAAATTCGTTAAACTCTTCGAAGAAATATCTCCCCGTCAGCTGGTCAACTTGTATGACATGAATGGTGGGTGCGTGCGCGAGAGGAAGATCATTCGCGACATGGCCGAAGGTGACAATTGAGTCGCTGGGAAAACGATGCCGACCACAGGAGCTGTAATCTAACTACCTGTATCAGCAACCCTAAGTTTCACACAAATGGTAAGTACCGGCAAGCCATACGGAGACGGCGCAAAGAACAACGAACCCCTCTGGGATTCGCATTACAAGCCTTCGGCATTGGATTCCGCCAATGATGAACGTCGTTGATCTAGAGCTTCCACACGTTAAACGCATTCGGTCCTCTTGTAGTCGCCGATGTAGTCAGATCCTCGATCTGAACCCAAGGACGACTTCCTCGATGGCCATTCACTTGTGGACGAGAGAGTCCGAGAGACACTGATCTATATCCGTTCATTCTCTTCCAGGCATCAACCGGCGCCCTGTAGTGGAACTCAGATGTGGTTAGGGCTGTGTCTGAGCCGTGTTAAAGATCTTTGAAGATGATGTTGACCATGCTTGAGATGTAACAGAAGAACGTGTGAAAAGACGTGATGATGCAGGATTGTGATGTTATGGCGATGTGGTGGCGACGGAAGAGGGCAGGCAGAGCAACCGATATACGTTGAGAAATCCCTTCGGCACAAAGGAACCTGTCCCTAAGCTTAGATCAAGCAAGCTTAACATGGAGTACTGTACAGCTGGAACAGCTTGGAACGACTACGTTTGCTATGCATTTCTATATGATTATACCATGAGCCGGTTGAAGCACTGATCTCCGGCCAATTGGCAGTATTGCCTCCAATGAGTCAGCAGCCATGACGGGGAGTTCCTGTTCACAGACAGAGGCAGCGAGGCTTTTAGCTTGAGTGTTGCAATACACAAGATCTGTTTTTCAGATTATCTGCTTCGCTTCTGTTTTTCATTCAAGTGAAAGTCATCGAACCAGGACTGATCGCAGTCCGGCCGTGTCAAAATATCATGGTCATCAAGTTTCAACAGAGGTAATCCTTGTGCGCGATTCGAATCCGCCAGCAGGTCGAACAGGCTTCCACCGAGAGTCTTGTTCAGCTGCCGCAAAAATCGTCCTTTCACAGACTCTAATTCATCCAACAGTGTGCCGAGCTCCGATGCTGCCAAGATCTCTTCGAATCTATTCCCGTCAGCCGGTTTGTCCAACTAATGACAGACAGAATCAGTCACACTCACATTCGGTCATTGGCTACCACCCTGTTCTCGTCAATAAACCAGTCTCGGGTCACCAGCCCTAGAGCTGACCACCCGAATTTGTCGGCGAATCTGAGCCATCGTTGGCCGGCTTCGATCTGTTTGCCCAGTTTTCTTTTGTAATGGTTCCACCGAACGGCATCAGGTTCGCCGGAGTCGATAAGGCCACTCCTGGTCTTGTTCCTCCCCCGAAATCGAGCAGGAAAGGCCACGTCCCAGATATGCTGGATCAGAGACACATAAGCCTCGGCCTTGTATGCCTTGTTTGTTGATGTCCGCAGGGACAGGCGT